AAAGGCCGCAGACAGAGGGTGGTGGTCAATGGCTCTATGTCCAGGTGGAGGCCGGTAACAAGTGGTGTCCCCCAAGGGTCTGTCTTGGGACCGGTGCTCTTTAACATCTTTATTAATGACATCGATGAGGGAATTGAGTGCACCCTCAGCAAGTTTGCTGACGACACCAAGCTGAGTGGTGCGGTTGATACGGTGGAAGGAAGGGATGCCATTCAGAGGGACCTCGACAGGCTGGAGGGCTGGGCTCGGGTGAACCTAATGAGGTTCAACACGGCAAAGTGCAAGGTTTTGCATTTGGGCCGGAAGAACCCCAGGCACCCGTACAGGCTGGGAGGAGTGGTCCTTGAGAGCAGCTCGGCAGAGAAGGACCTGGGGGTCCTGATGGACGAGAGACTGAACATGAGCCAGCAGTGCGCTCTGGCAGCTCGAAAGGCAAATGGGATCCTGGGCTCCATCAGGAGAGGGGTGGTCAGCAGGGAGAGGGAGGTGATTGTCCCTCTACTCGGCTCTTGTGAGGCCCCATCTGGAGTCCTGTGTCCAGGTGTGGAGCCCTCAGTACAAGAAAGACACTGAGATTTTGGAAAGGGTCCAGAGGAGGGCGACTAAGATGATCAGGGGGCTGGAGCACCTCCCCTATGAGGACAGGCTGAGGGAGTTGGGCTTGTTCAGCCTGGAGAAGAGAAGGCTGCGGGGTGACCTCATGGCAGCCTACCAATACCTGAAGGGAACCTACACCCAGGAGGGGAGTAAACTCTTCAAAAGGGCTGACAACAGCAGGACTAGGGGAAATGGATCCAAGTTGAAGGAGGGAAGATTTAGGTTGGATGTTAGGGGGAAGTTCTTTACAAGGAGAGTGGTTAGGCCCTGGAACGGGTTGCCCAGGGAGGTTGTGGATGCCCCGTCCTTGGACGTGTTCAAGGCCAGGTTGGATGGGGTCCTGGGCAACCTGATCTGAATGTGTGTGTTTGGTGGCCCTGCTGGGCAGGGGGGTTGGAACTACATGATCCTTGAGGTCCCTTCCAACCCGGGTGATTCTGTGATTCATCTCAGGGGTCGGGACCTGAGCACAGAAATGTAAGAAATTCAATAGATATATAAAATGCTCACCCACCATAACAAGGATTCCCTCTTCCATTGAGCCAGAAGAAAGAGGGAGGGGAAAAAAAAAAAAAAAAAAAAAGAAAAAAGGAAAAACATCACTTCTGCCACTTAAAAAAGTCTGTAGAGCTGTAACAGGAGAACTGAACAGATTTCCCTCTCAAAGGTTTTCCAGTGGGATTTGTTTCATCTCTTGCATTTTGCATTCTGCTCCAGCCTTAAGCAGAAAACACACAGCTGCAGAGCACAGTGTGTCAGCAGTGCACTAGCAGAGCTGCAGCTGATTGCCTGCTCAAAGTGCTGCCCAGCCACAGCTCCAGCCCTGCATCCAGATGGTCTGCAGGGCTGAGAGGGGCTGTGAACAGCTACAGTGCTGGGAGGAGGGGCTGTGCCCAGCTCCCACCCTCATCTTTGGCCCTAGCTGTTCTGAGAGCTACAATGTTGGCACTTTGTCTGCCTTTTTTTTTTGCGTCATGCCAGAGCACTCCATTGTTAGATCAGCAAATGGATTCTGTAGGACCTGTCGCGAAGCAGATGGACAACCTTAACTTTTCTGGAACACTTTACCTTTGGGAAGGGGGAGGTGCACACAGGGCACTGTGCACTACAGCTGCTCAGCACATTGCTTTAGAAAGAGAGGAAAGAGAGGATTGTCTAAAATAAAATTCCACTCCAGATCTCTGCCTCCGAGATTCGTGTATTTTCCATATGCTTGTCTTTTTTTTCTTTACAGCTATATTTCACAGAAAACAAAACAAAAAGATCCTGTCCTATGACACAGAATGATCTGTCTCCCACAGACCAAGAATTTTACAAGATTTACATGGAAAGCATCAGTGAGCGAAGGTCCCTGTTCTACAAGTCACCCAGACATCCAACTATGAATTGTTTCAATGGCAATCAGGCGCACTGCTATAGAAACGGGCTTACAAAATAGGGCTTCATAGTCCTGGATATTGCAAGCATTAGATCCATATTGGTTGAACTCCCTAAGAAAGTCACATAAGCAGAAGTACACACGAAAGTAGAACTTATTTTAGTTCAAACTCTGGTACATAAATACAGGAAGGTTTTACGGTTGTTAGGATCTTTTGCTTTCATGACACTACAAAACGTCATAGGAAAACAGCAAAATCCTAGCAGTTTTCATTAACAGATTCTTACTAAAAAAAAAAAAAAAAAGGGGGGGGGGGGGGGGGTTTTAAAAGTAGGATAGAACAGAACAGTACAAAAGGAAACTTGTGAAGGTATATCAGTTTTGTGAGAACCTGTAATAAACAATGTGGATTGCTCATATCTGAGTCCATACAAGGACCCAGTCGGACCGAGAGTGCTGGAAGGAAGCTCGTGCTGCACAGAAGCTGCAAGGAAGTTCAGGCTGCAAGAAGTGCTGCGCTGAAAGAAGCAACCCCGTGTGGAGTCCTGCTTTTCTCTGGATAAGGAACAGCTCCAAGGTGGATGGAATGTATTTAGGGGTCTCTTGAGGGGTTTTTGCAGGGTAGATACAGAATTTGTTAAAATTAGGACTAGTTTGGCTCATTGCCTTTTTGTGTGTTTCGATTTGTGTTTCACACTTGTTGCAGTGTATACAAAAATGATACAGGATGCTTATGAACCGTGCCTTCTTTGTTAATAAGGAAGGGGGAGATGTGGGGAAAGATGTAACTGTGAGCAAGTCAGCCAAGAGTCTATCAGACTCCTTGATGGAGCCTATCACCGTGAAACCTTGGGAGTCTGGAGTGTAAGACTGAGAGCAAATGGGCTCTGTTTGCGTCTAAGGGCAAACAGGAGGTTGTGTCTGTATGCACTGTTAACCTTATCACACTTAAGAAACCTTTCATCCTTTATCACTATTGTTTGGGAGAAGCTGGGCCAATTAACTGAGGAGGGGGACAGCATTTTCCTGCTTGTAAGTGAATGGTACATCAGATGTGTGTTGAACACCATAAAGCAGAACTATTCGGAGAACGATTCTGATGCTACAAGAAACCGTGCGAGCTCTCTAACTCGGCTGAGCGCCGACAATTGGCGCCCGAACAGGGACCCGAAGCCGGGCCCGACTTGAAGACTGACCGCTCCGGAGCACGCTGAGAAAAGCGTGGCAGGTGCCGAGAAAAGCACGGAGCACGCTGAGAAAAGCGTGGCGCTGAGAGAAGCGTGGCACACGCTGAGAAAGGGCGCAAAACACGCTGAGAAGCACGGCAGACGCGGAGAGAAGCGCCACAACCTGAGGATTCATCGCCCCGACAGCTCGGAGTGCCTTTCTCCGGACCGTTGCCGTGGGGATTCATGTGAGCTCCGAACAAAAGAACGTCCGAGTTACTTTGCAGATTGTTCTGAAAAAATGGGAAAAGACGGTGCCCGCTGCCGTTTTACAGCAGGTGCTGCTCTGGGCTGCCAAGAGTGACCCCTCGATCGCAAATCAGACCATTTACGACCCCGAAGTAGGGGACCGGGTCGGGGTAAAGCTATGGGACGCTGCTGCTGCGGGTGGTAAGACAGCGTTCGGGGAGCTGCAGACTCGGAGAAAGCTCTTTGAAGCGCTGAAGAGCCACTGAAGATCGCAGTCTGACAGCCCCAGTCTGCCTGAGGGCGAGGGAGCGGCTGGTTGCCCTGCAGATCAGCCCACGATACCATCGGCTGCCCGGCCGCCGCCGTCGGGTGGGATTTTCACTGCCGGAATCAGGTGAACGGGAATGCTCATTTCCCACTGATAACCTGGGGGAGAGGAAGAATCTTGGGGATATCCTGTACTGGTTATTGTCACTGTCTTTGTGATTGGTAAATGCTTATGGCAATGAAAGTGTAAATGTAAATGGCAGATGGAAATGTAATGGTTAATGGTATACGGAGGTGGAATTGTTAACAGTGCGCAGAAGTGTGAATGTTAGTGCTGTATGGAAGTGCAAACATCAGTGCTGCATGGAAGTGGAATTAGGAATGGTACATGGAAGCGTAACTGAGGGTACAAATAGTGGAACTGTGAAAAACAAAACAACGAAGACAAAAATCAGCACAAAGTTTAAAGAAGAGCAGCGGGTTAAAATATTCAAGTCTGTGATCTGCTCCAGCCAAAGCAGATCAGTGCCGGCAAGAGAACGCATCCCCGCACTGCTCCTCCCCCCGCTGGTAACCAGAACGCAAACGAGGCGTTAATGGCGAGTGGGGACGAAAACAAAAGACTGGAAGCGAGAAGAGCCTTGATCTGCAGATGTAGGAAACTCGGTATCCCAGTGTCAGCACGGGAAGCCTGAGGAGGGAGGAGCTGAGAGAAGGGCTCTAGGACCCAGAGATCTCCGCAGGAAGAGCTGGGAGGGGGGGCTGGCAGGGCCCAGGAGGGTTCTGCCCTCACTGAACAGAAGAGCAGCTTGTGCGAAAAGCGGCGCTGCGTCTGGTAACAGATGCGATAGCAGTGAAGGGTGGAGAAAATGAAGCTGAGGAAGAAATGACAGCAAGGTGTGGAATTCGTAGCAAACGCTGAAGCAAAATGTGGTGTTCTTACTGCAGTAAGTGGTGAGTTTGTAACCAGACGGGAAACCACTGGCAAAAGTGAGGTTTGCTTTGTTAAACGTTTGCAATCTAGTATAGTTAAACAGGTAGCCATACACAGATTGTTGTACATGCCAAATTAATCCAAACCTTGACTAGGCATGATTTACTAAAACAACAATGCCACAGCCGATATACAAAGGTCTGGGCTCTCAGCTGCAGAGGGCAGCAGTAACCTTCCCACTGAAATGTGGCAGGTCTCCCAGTAAAGAAATACTCACGGGTGGACTGTGCATGCCCTTCAAGGCTCAAACAGGCTCAGAAGATCTTGAGAGGATCTTAAGTAAAATTGCACCCAAGTGAACTAGGAGAACATGAGGGTTTCTGCCTCCAAGGAAACAGACACAACTTACATGCCCAATGCTTACACATTTTCTTACTCCTCTTGTCTGGCCACCTTGTGACAATACACCCTGTTTAGTGTTTATTTCTTACATTTGTATTATTCGTTGAGTAATAGCTTCCAGCATGTGCACCCAAGCAGAGAGCAGTTATTGAGTGAGGTGGTCAGAAGGGCAGCAGCTCCTGGCTGGCCACGTGCAGGGGTTTCTCAGCCATGTTTGCCAGCGAGGTGTGAGCACAGCTCCTGGGGGTAATTTTTGGTCACAGAGCCCTGCAGTGCCCGGAACAAAGCCAGCAGCCCGGCCCTACAGAGACCCATGCCAGGTGGGGTTGGGGCTGCAGCAGCCTTGCCTCTTCCCAGTCCTAGCAAACAGCAAGTCAGTCCAACAGCTCTGCTTACAGGAGAACCCGAATTTACTTCAGGCACGTGGTCCTGGAATCTGGAAAACCCTGATGTCTCCAGGTGCAGGCAGTACTGGCAAGCATCGACATCAGATGGTTTATACACCTGAGCTGCCTAACAGGAAAGGAACGGTGCCATTGTGTGCCTAAACTGAGCCCATCAGGCAGTTGTAAGCTAGTTGAGTCCTCAGAGTCCAAAGTGAGTGGAAATTTGCTACCACACTCCATGAGTGGTTAAGGTAACTTAGTTTCAGCAAGTTTTGCATTAGTAATAATGGAAAAAAAAAACAACACCCAAACAATTATGATAGGTGCTGCAAAAGAAACTCCTCTTCATCTTTTGGATGGAAAGTCAATGACTGTGTGCAATTTCCCCTGTAATGCTGCGGGGCCCTCTTCCACTCCACTGTCTCTGCTGTCTGGCACAACGGGAGAGCTGCTGTGGCCTTGTGTCCGCACCTGTGCCTCCTCCAGGGTGAGTAGCTTGGTGGGAGGAAAAGAAACCCACAGGGACTCGGGCCACAATTAAGAACTGTGTCCTGTAAAGCAAAAGCACAGATCAGAGGAGGATCAGCAAGCAGCAGCACAGCCATCACAGCTCTGGGGGAGGTGCTGTGTTTTTCTAAGGCTTGGTTATCCTAGCTACTGCAGGATGATGTCAAAACAACCATTTTGTCACAGGTATGTTTATGGCAAAGGACAGACATACTCATAAGTGAGAGCAGCTTACTGTATTTAAGCAAGCAAACAAAACTCCTAAAAAGTGAGGACAAGTCAGTCAGAAACCTTCACTGCCATACTTGAATCAATCTTCATCTGCATGCAAAATATTGTCATGATAACGACAGTTTTCTTCTTATGAGGTCTGGGTTTGCTCTCAGCATCCAGCAACAGGAAACGCTGCACACGACTGCAGCAGCTGCAACCCAGCGTGCAGGTGGACACAGAGAACTGAATCTGGCCGTGCCTTGCTCTCGGCCTGCTTACAGCCTATGCTTGTTTTTGCAGACAAACATTTAGATTTCTACCACAGTAGCCCACAGTGCCAGCTGCCAGGATCTCTGAAGCCTCTCAGTGCAGGGCAGTGCAGGTGAGCGCGAGGAGTCTGCTCTAAGAGCTGTCCCTGTTTGTCCTTTGTGTGCTCACAGGGGCTGCCTTGCCAGAGCAGTATTGCCAAGCTTAGCTGATCCTCTGTGACATCCCCTGACCCTTCTGCTTGTGGGAAAGCAGACAATGTGAACGTCTGAATCATTAAACAACTGGCCAAGGTGATATGCTCCGTTCTACAGCCTGGATCATCACATGGCTCAGGTGCTTTGCATGTCCATCTTCCCCTGGCAGAGCTCAGCCTGCTGTGGGCTGTTCCTGTTCAACCAAGCTTACCCCTGCATCCTGCTGACATAAAAACTGCCTTCCAGTAGGAACAAAAGCTGCACTTACAGCAACTGTGCTATAAAAAGAAGAGCAACACTTGTATCAAACGGCAAGCAGCAAATACTCTGAAAAAGCAGTTATCTATACTCCACCAGTGGCAATAACTGCAGTGACTGCAAATCTCATTGGAAGGTCGGGGTATCAAAGCAGATGGAACAAACTTAGCGCTCCTTTGGAATAATAATTGTTTGTGCTCTTCACACTTACTCAACAAGCAGAGGAAACTTTCTTCCTGGTGCAACTCTCTTTCTTTCCACTGGACCAGGTGCACTTATGGTCTTAGCAGTCACTCAAGGACAGCTGTAGGTTCCAGGGCTGAGCACAAACAGCTTGCAGTTATTTCCTCACTCTTAGCACCTAAGCTCATCCTAAAGCCTCTGCTGTGCAGGCAGAGAACTGGGCAACAGCTGCAGGGCCCGTGCAGTCTTTGCTGTGCAGCTGGACAGCCCTGCTGATTAACTTACAGAGACTGTGCAGAAGAAACAACCATGAAAGCAGCTGTCAGAATATCTCCCATTAAGAGCAAGACTTCTGTTTCTCAGCATCAATGCTAATGAATACCAAGAGCCTTCTTTAAATCTGCTGTTTGCCATTTGTCTTCTAAGATGCTTGTAAGGATCACGCACTGTGTTGTACTGCAAGACAGCTCAAGTGGGAAAGCACACAGAAGCATTGAAGAAAGTGATTTTAGAAGGAAAAGAGAGAGTAGGGAGAAAGATTTAAGTTACTCTGTGCAGCTTGTCAGTGTGTGGACCTAACAGCAGCAGCCAAAATTTCAGCTGTATGTTCTCGTAGAGCATCCCTGGCTTCCCAGAAAGATACTGGTAGCCACATTTGCCATATTCTTATATCAGTCCAGAAGTCTGTTGTCTCCTCAACAGTAAAAGCATATGTCAAGTATCTTGGTGGAGATCTGGATTTGATCAAGGTGTCTGATCAAGGTAAAGCTAATGGAGGAAGATGCTCACCTGCTCCATCTCCAAAGAACGGGCTGGATTTGGAGTGGAAGAGAACATCTGAGTGGTTCAAGATGAATTCCACAACGGCCAGCTGCATCTGCACCTCCATGAAGGCAGCTCTTCTGCTGATGCAGGCAGACTCACTCTGCTGTGACCTGAAGAAAAAACAGATGAAGTAAAACTGCCAACAGACAAAAGACTGGGAAGGCAACTCTGGCTGTGCAAAATATGTTGATTTTGGAGGGGAGGGTCTACAAAGGCTGCGTGTGTTTATTTTGAGGTTTCTTTTCAACACTGTTTGCAAGATGTCAAGCATGAGTCCACTCTGATGTTCTTTTCTTATCTGGCCTCACATCCTGCTTTCCTGCATTGCTATACAATGGGTAACCCTTATCTTGTCCTCTCTTAACTCACGCAAGCAGGAGAGCACGCAGAAAGCAGCTTACATCTTTTACGCCCTATAACTCGACACTTATCTCTTTCTCCCCTGGTTCCTCATTGGCTGAGTACTTCAGGTTCACAATGTTCCCGACGCTCAACTAAACCTATGGATACTGGATGAACATCAATTATTGCTGGCTAAGCATATATCGCTAATTAGTTAACTTCTCACACTTGCTCACTCAACACTCAGTCCTTGTTTCTGGACTTCTGCTCGTCCCTGCATAGAGATAAGCTTGGAAGGAGGACAAGGGGGAGTATCTTGATGCCTGCCTGTTGCATCCCAACCTACCCACAGAGCCAGGCAAGCCAGCCTTGCGTAGAGGCCCTGGCTTCTTTGATGTTTGTTAAGTCTGTTTTTCTTTTGCTGAGGGTCTCTTATCCAAACAAAATAGCCCTACAACATGATTTCTAGTCCATAATACTATACCTACACTATTTGGAACATTTAAGAGCTATTGCAGTTTTGCAAGCAAGAATTAATCACACAATTCAGCAACTGTATTTCTAAAGTAGGTTACTAACATATATGGTATTTCTACTTTTTCACATCAGCTATTTCTAAGGACAAGTTACTAAACACAAGTACACTGTGCTCTGCTTCTTCAGATCAATTCCCTCCTCTTAATATCTAATGCAGGAACAACATTCCATTCCTACAGCCTTGAGCAGGGATGTCTCTTGATGTCACACCTGCACAGAGATCCTTTCCACCTTGATGTCAAGACACCTTGCTGGTACGGATCCTCGGTAAGCAACTAATAGTTTGGTTTGGAATTTGTCAGCTTCACTAAGGGTACATCTATCTATCTGTCTAGGATCCCTTAGACACAAACTGTCTGGGACTAGGAGTGGATCCAGCCGTGCTGGGGAACCTTACCTCTGTGCATTGAAGAGTTCACACAGCAATGGGGTTGGCTCTGATCCTCATGACACAGCAGGAGAGCATCCTGTAGATGTGTGTGTTACCCTGTCCTCTCTGTGGATAATCACCCAAAGAGAAAAACCCAGTGAGGCCACGGGCTACTCATCTCCAGCATCACATCCCGTTCAGACGTAAATAATTCTCACCTCATGGACTCAGAGCTTCCCCTTTAAACTGAAATCGGTCGGGTCTGCCGTACAGAACTCCAAAAGGACTCAAGCATTCCTTACATCTTGATTTTACCCTCATCCTTGTTGCCTGCTACCCGTGTAAGTTCTCCTCCTGCTGAATTTCAGCCACGTGCTTTCATCTGGCGATTTCCACGTGCCCCTCGTGCTCAACAGGCTGTGTGCAATTCCCAGCTGATGCCCACGGTGTGACCGAGCTGCCGCAGCACTCACAGCACCGAGCACCCTTTGTCCAACGGCATCGCAGCAGGCGCCCGAATCGAGGTACGATGTCATTTCACAGTGCTTGTATACTCGCCCTGTTTGTGCTACAGGGAAAAGCCACCGACCAAGCTGAAGCAGCGTCTGCCAGCACCACGGCGTTCCCCGAGTTCTGAC